AAAAAAAAAAAAAAAAAAAGAAAGAAAAAGAAAAAGAAAAAAGATCGAAGAAACTTGGCTGACTACAGACATTTAGTGATTACTCAATAGGTCCCAAAGCTCAGCACCTAAGACATAATTTGATTCCAATTTCTGCTGAAACACAATTTCATCTCAACTATTGTTATAAGGGAGGGAGGAAAGTGACATTATTATGAGCGTAAACCTGCCATTTTTAACTAAAGTAAAAGCTACTGACAAATGAATTAGCTAAAAAGGCTAGTGCATTCAAAACAAAATTGTTTATAAGCTAGCTAGTTACATTTCCAGAATGAAAAGTAAACTTAAATATAAGGACATTAATATTCTAAATTAGCACTTTCCAAACTGTGCTTAAAAATCAACACTCATAACCAAGGAGACGATAATAATGATCACTGGACAGCCCCTGTGGTGGTGGTGGTGGTGGTTGTTCCTTTTAAAAAATAAACTTCATCTCAGAGTGCTCTCAAAGTGCATCTTTGTGGCCCATGAGGTGCTCATGCACAATGGGAGAAATTCAAATGCAGATACACTGTGGTGCCAGAGGAGAAAAAGCTGTTCCTTCTTCTAAGACTAATGTCCAAAGTAGTACACATTGACTTAGGCCTGCAACGCATTGAGAAACTAATTTTTAACAAAAAGCATTCAATGAAGGGAACGTGTCCTTCTTACTGCATTCAACATTCTCTTAAGGCATAAAGGCATCAAATAAATAGCAACACTTTTTCTGAAATTGCTTATTTGCTAAGAGATTTTTCCTTCCACTATGATGTAGAAGATGAAAAGAGAAATTGATACTTAATATTTAGAATCTGGTATCAATATTTAGTTGACTCCAATTTCTTAAACTGATTGAAGAGGACAACCAAATGGCTAAAATAATTTTAATCTGTCCCTTGGCAGTATAGTGGTACTCACGATTTTAGTGTCATTTTAAAATGAGGGCAGCTGGTTGTGGTGTCTTCCAGGAAAATTGTCGAGCATGAGTTGAATTTTGAAGAAAAATAATATGTATCTATCTAAAGAGGAAGGGAAGGATAAGGTAAACTTATCAAAGTGTGTTTTTTTTTTTCCTCAGTTAAAATATCAAATGACAAAGTACTAAGATATTTCTTACACTCCATGAACTGCCTGAGTGTGATACCATGTGCACTGTATAGAAAAACCATTGGAGGCTCTTAACTTCAGAGATGATATTGAGATATGAGTTAGAAAATGCTGCTCTTAATATGCTACCTGTCATCATACCTAACAAGGATTTTATGAATTCTCTTCATATATAATGACAAAAGTTTAAAATATAATTTCATTGTTTTTTTCTACCATGATATAAAGCAGCTGAGAATTTCTATTAATTTATTACAATAAAATGTAATGTATTAAATAATACTGGTACACGAGAAATTTATTGCAATGAATACAAGACTAATGTATTTACAAACTTACTAATCCTACATGTATTATTTCAGGCAATATTGTGACAAAACAGGTGTGTCACATTCAGAGGTTCTGTGTGCCAAGGTTGCTAGGCCACCACCAAGTGAGGAAGCCATAGGTTTCTCTAGTCCTGTTTTCTTATGTGGAGGATAAAAAGATTATCACTTAAATATTCTCTCACACCCTGAAAACAGATAATAACTTAAAAAAACAGAGAAAATAAAAAACATTCTCAAAAAGAGAGAGTCTGCATATTTAGTAGCCTCAGTAAAATGAAAAGATCACCCGCCAAGCTGTTATTATGAAATTTCAGAATCTCAGAGACAGAAAAGCTCTGAAAAAGCTTCCAAAAATACATAAAACGCGGTTATAAATAACGTGTCACGCAATGGCAATAGATTCAAGAACAACACTGTGACGAGGGCACAATTGCAGAATATCTTCAGAACCAAAAAATTCAGATTCAACTTAGAAGTTTACTCTCTAACAAGGAAGAAGAATTTTAAGACTGGTCAGATCTCTAAACATCTCTGTCCAGGAAAGTGTGCTTAAGTACAACTAGAGAGGATAACAGGACAGAAGGAAACACAGAATCTAGGCGATCCCTCACAAAGTGGCAGTTATGTGAGATCCCAAAAGACTTTGAAGAGATAGCACAGATAGACTAAGACATCAAGCATATCTAGGGAAAGCCACTCTATACTGAACTAGGATGACAAAAGGCCAAAGAAAGGCTGCCCACCTCTGACAAAAACAAAGAGGAACAGGTATGTTTTAGCAGATGGAAAATATCTTTGAAAGGCATGTGATAAATGCTACAACACTTGGGGGGGAGGGATCAGCTGTTAGAAAACAGGCAAATGAATATAGTCAGAAAATTAGCTTCACGCTAAAAAATAATGGCTGTGAAATGTAAATTATATGTAAAATATAATTTAACAATAATTATTATTTTTCAGTAAAGTGACAGGCCATCCAGAGGCTACTTATTGTATTTGGCTGGATAAATTATTTATTTATTTTCTGGAGAAAATACTTATTGTATTTTCTCCAGCATAGGCTAGGAGAAAAAGATGATCCAGAAGAAGTGCAGAAGTGCTCAGATTTCAGAACTATTTCAGAGAAAGGATGAAGGAATATGTAATGAAGAGACACAGTGAAAACAACATATAACTCAGCAGTGAATAATATATGGATAGTCATAATCATGTCAATATTACTGATTGAATTAAAAAGTGTGCTACAATTGAAAGAAACAGAGGGAGAAAAATAAGGTCATGGTTAGCAAGGAAGATACACTTTCACCTGCTGTGACAGAGGGTCAATAGACCATACTGACAATTAACTTAGCTCTTCTATTTTTGTTATTTCATTAAAAATAAGATTAAATATTTAAAGTAGATCTTTATACCACAACCAACTATTGAAATTTAACTTGAGTGTCAGCAATCCTTAAAAGGTGGGCACGCTAAGCTGAAGACTTTTCAGGATAAATTTGATAGGAAAGTAGAAGAGATTCAGAAAATCCATGAAATGAGGTCCATCCTATCACCACTGGGTCCCCATTATAATTTAAAGGAATCAAGAGAGACATACTTTTACATCAAACTACCAATTTCTCAACTTTTTGACGGTTTACTTACATGGTTTGTACCGCTGTTTTCTTCTATTTCTTGTGCTAAGAATGAAAGAAAAAAAAACGGTCACTTATCACACAAATAATATAAAATAAAAGTAGTTGTTAACAACTTACCGACTACTCCTATGTGCAATCAGAGAAAATTCCATTTAAAAAAATTAATTTCAATAATTTATAATTTAAACTCTCTGGCATGATAAATCTCATAAAGTAAAATGTAAAAACTTAGATTTTTGACATCGTTTACTTTCCGTTTTTATTACATACAAGTGAAATAATACTCATGTACAAAAGGGCACAAAAATTAGGCCAGATGAAAAATTTAGCTAATAAAAAATTTAATTGTTGCATATATGAGCCATGATCCGTTAGTATTCTCCCATTCTGTATTTACACATAGCTTAATTACCCGAATCTAAGAGCTAACAGCTCTAAGAACTGCTTCCTGGCCAGGCACCTATCTCTAGATGCACCAGAATCCCTGTAAGCCTCTCCAACCACAATCAGTGGTCATCTACTAACATGTTACTACAAACAAAACAAAAAAAAACAGGGTCTTTACACAACTGAAAAGTAACCTATCTTAATCTTTTGTTTGTTTGCTTGTTCTTTTTTGTTTTTTGATAGGGAGGAGTCTCGCTCTGTCACCCAGGCTGGAATGCAATGATGTGACCTTGGCTTACTGCCACCTCCGCCTTCAGGGTTCAAATAATTCTCCTGCCTCAGCCTCTGAGTAACTGGGATTAGAGGTGCACCCCACCATGCCTGGCTAGTTTTTGTTTTAATAGAGATGGAGTTTCAGCATTTTGGTCAGGCTGGTCTCGAACTCCTGACATTATCATGCACCCACCTTCACCTCCCAAAGTGCTAGGACTACAGGCATAAGCCACTACACCCGGCCAAATTTAAATCTTAAAATAAGTAGACAAACCTAATTTGGACATGGTGTCTGCAGCAAAAAAAAAAAGCCAGATAATAAAAGCTCCAAGAGGAACTTGGGCCATGCTTTATTTCCTACACTGCCTCCACCTTTAATGCTGGAAGGGAAACATTCAAAATGGGACCCTTAATGCTGAGGACAGGGCCTAGTGAGAAGTGTTTGGGTAACAGTGGAGCATTCCTTATGAATGCCTTGGTGCCATTCCTATGGTAAGAAGCAGATTTTCATTCTGGTATTAAACCAATATGAGTTTTTCTTTTTGTTTATTTGCAGAAAACTGATTTATTTAGAGAGAGAGAGAGAAACAGAGAAGAGAGAAAGCTTCCCCAAGAGAGAGTGTGTGGAAGCAGGACCCCAGAGGGGAAATCCAGGAGGGGAAAGAGACCTCCCACTGTGTCGGATAATATGAGTTTTCTAAATACTTTTTATAATACATCTGATCAAACAAGATTTTTCAATCTTTTTCTTGGCAGAAAAAACAATGTTGTCTCACTATCTGTTTGGGATTTCCTTGCTTCAGAAGGGTTAGACTCTAATGCCATATCTATACAGAGAGAAAAGAAAAAATATGTAATCGCTTATAACAATTTATCAACTCATTTATTCGAAAAGGAAGCCATTTCACTACCTCTACTTTTATTCTTATCCATTGGGAAGAGGGACAAAGAATTAAACATAAAGATAAATCTAAGACTCCTCCCTTACATGACAAATTGTGTTGATAAAAAGATGGGAAAATGTATAAACAAAAATTTGACATGTTTTCACTAACAGAACAACTAAAGGAAAGTATATCACATGTTAAAATAACACAAGCGAATATGTGAAAATTTAAAAAATTTAAACCAATATGAGTTTTGCTAAACATTTTCTATTATACATCTCATCAAACAAGAGTTTTCACTCTTTTTCTTGGTGGAAAAAAACAACGTTATCTCACCATCTGCTTCAGATTTCTTTGCTTCTGGATGATCAGAAGGGTTGGACTCCAAAGCCCTATCTATACCGAGAGAAAAGAAAAAAAGATGTGATCATTATAACAATTTATCAGTTCATTTATTCTACAAGGAGGCCATTTTAATACCTCTACTTTTATTCTTATCCATTGAAATGAATGTATAGACGAGGCCAGACAAGGTGGCGCACGACTGTACTCCCAGCTACTCAGGAGGATGAGATAAGAAAATCCCTCGAACCCAAGTCAGGAATTTAGGCCAGCATGAGTAACATAGTGAGACTTTTTTATTTAAAAAAAAGAAAGAGGTAAATGTTCCCTTTGAGTTGTGTGAAATCAACTTTGCATAAAATAAATCAAGATGGCAATACATTTCAAAAGAGAGGCCTATTTTATAGACAAAATATAAGATGTATTCTGGAGTTAAAAAATTTTTTTAAATGTAAATTCAGCATATTTGTCACTTCCATGTCATTCTGAAGACACAGAACCTTAGTTCTGTTGAGCAGCTGTCCTCAATAGTCATGTGAGATCTCTGTCTTCATTTCTTCATTAGGAATACATACAGAGAACATATGTATGTTCTTTTTATTGGAAGCCTTCTTTGTATTGGAAGGGGCCAAAACAGACATACATAAACTGTATTGTAATCCTAAAGAATAGCAATAAAGAGCCTTTTTTGTTCTCGAATCCAATACCACCCATCTATGAACTGTTGTGTAAAATCACTCACAAGCTTTCCTTACACCAGCAACCAGAGTATACGTTTACACAAGTACTTACACATTTTGTGTATAAAGGTATAATCAATTCACATAATATATTTGTTTATTCAAAATTCTTAAACATCTTGAAAAGTGAGTATTGTACTCCAAGTTACAAAGTCACATTCATCATGAGTCTTAATTATTCTACCTCTGGAAAAAACTAAGAGCCCAACCAATGTTTTTTTTTTGTTTTTTGTTTTTCTTTTTTTTACTTTAAGTTCTGAGATACATGTGCAGAACGTGCAGCTTTGTTACATATGTATACATGTGCCCTGGTGGTTTGCTGCACCTATAAACACATCATCAAGGTTTTAAACCCCACATGCATTAGGTATTTGTCCTAATCTTCTCCATCCCCTTACACCCCACCCCACAATGAACACCCCAGTGTGTGATGTTCCCCTCCCTGTGTCCATATGTTCTCGTTATTCAACTACCACTTATGAGAGAGAATATGTGGTGTTTGGTTTTTGTTCCTGTGTTGGTTTGCTGAGAATGATGGCTTCCAGCTTCTTATGTTTTACTTTCTTATATTTGAACAAGATGCTATTGTCAGGTGGGGGAAGGATAAAGGGGGAGCCATGGCAGCAAACACTCTGCACAGTTTTAACCTTCAATCTTCATGTTACACGTTAAAAGTCTACACTGACATTCCATTTCTTTTGAAAGTTTGACCACGAACCATCCCTACCTCTCTTTTAGAACAAGGAGGTAAATAAAGTCTGTTAAGTCACCAGAATAAATCTAGAGACACATTTTGTGTTAAAGTAAGAATTTTAAAGTCATCAGAGCCTCATAGGTAAACTCCTTTGGGGGAAAACAAACACCCATTTTTCTGAAGCCCTGGCCATGACATTTCACACCTTTCACAATTACTTTAAGCACCCTCTCATTTTCTTTCCTTTTGTGTTCAAATTACAGTTAGAAAACAATAAGCACCTATCAAGGTGACTTAAAGCAACCCATCAAGAATATCCTATCATCTCTCCCACGGCAACCTTCATTCGGATTTCAAAGAAGAAATCCCCAAATACTTCAGTATGAATTGTCCTGAGATTTAGCTACTTTAATGAAGGAAATAGGCACTTATCTGGTTCCTTCACTTAGGTACCATCTGGATAGGTATAAAAAAAGAATGAGATGGGTACTGGAAAGTTGCAGTATTTGAGTTTTCATTGATAAAAGGACGAGAATATTCCAAAACAGCTTTCAACAAAATCCCACAGAATAATAAAGAGAGCTACAGACAAGAAGAGACATAAATATATGGTCCTGGGCCAGCCTGAGAGAATGAGCTGAGGGAGCAAGAACTGGGTGTTTGGGAGGGGGGGAGAAAAGAAATTGACTGGACTCCATGGAGAAAGACTAAGCGGTGGAAAAAGGAATGCAAGGCAGAGCCAGTCTTTGCTTCTGACCAGCCCTGGAAAAGCTGGCTACAGGCAAAAAGGAGCCTGAGGTAGGGGATGCCCCCTAGGGAACCTTGAAGACACCAGCAGCCAGAGGGGTGGCCAGGGCAGATGGCACTGTCACCTCCTTACCTTCAGGCATCCCACATCACAGATGTCGTGCACAGGACGGACCTCACCAGCTTCAACAGTCAACTCGGCAGGTTCTACAGCAGCAGCCATGGGCACTGCTGCTGTGGTGTCCTCATCTGCTGTTGTGTCCTCAGCTGCTGCCGTGTCCTCATCTGCTGCCGTGTCCTCGGCTGCTGCCGTGTCCTCATCTGCTGTTGTGTCCTCGGCTGCTGCCGTGTCCTCATCTGCTGTTGAGTCCTCATCTGCTGTCGTGTCCTCATCTGCTGCCATGTCCTCAGCTGCTGTCGTGTCCTCGGCTGCTGCCATGTCTTCAGCTGCTGTCGTGTCCTCAGCTGCTGACTCAGGAGGACACCCTGACCCCTCATCCTGGTCCGACTCTTGGCAGACTTTGGGGCACACACAGCAGCTCACTTTGTTCCCCATGGGGCGCCTCTACTGTCTGCTGCCACCTGTGCCTCCGCTCACAGTGTTGTTCAGGCACTCCTGCTGCCCTAGGCCGAGGCTATGCCGCACTTTCAGAGATGGTCTTGCCGACGGCTAACCTGGCCACCCCACAGCCCGGCCCCAGGCGGGGCTCAGGCCAAGGCCCGCGCCCTGCCGCCTCTCCTGAGTTGACTTGTCTGGGAGGGTCAAAAATAGGTGGCTAATTTAATAGGTTGGGAACCCAACAAGCGCTGAGAGATACAACTGCCTGAAGAGAGTACAAAAGGAGCTGCTCCTTCTGCAGTCACCCACAGACTGAAGCCCACTGGCCCAGGTGGAAGCCCAGGCACGTGACTCACAATGCCCTGTCTCCCACCTCACAATGCCCCAGCCTTGCTGCCGCCCCTCCCCCGCTGTCCCACCCTGTGGCTTAAGATGCCACTGCTCTCCTGGCCCCTCCTTCAGTGCCAGTGGAACTAAGGTTTTCATTCCTCACCCACCAGCTTCCTGAGCTTTTAAGTCCTAAAAACAGGGTGGTTCATTACTGGAAGCCATCTTCCTCTAGGAGTTCTATACAAATTGGCAGTTAGCAGAGTGGGTCCTATTAGCAACCAAGTTCAACTTTTATTTGTTGATTCAATGTAGATACACCTGAAATATTCCTCTCCTGTCTTCCAGTGAGTGGTAGTTTTTGTCTGCAACTTGACCACAGCAATCCCTGGGGCCCTAGCTCTACTCTCACTAAAGAGTTATGGCTGTGTGTCTTGAATGACACCTTAGAATCCACCCTGCCTCCACCTCCTCCATAAAATAGAAACCTAACTTGTCCCCCCAAGCTCTAAAGTGCTGAAACTTACCAACTTCCTTTTTTCCCGTTTCTTCCTTTGATGGCAGGGACTTTCAGATTTTCTGTCTTTTACTAACAAAGCACTAAGCATGACTTTGTTATACAAAATCAAGAGCCGTAAAGTGGGTTACCACAGTCCTAACTCAATAAAAATGAATACTGAACACCTAGCAAGCAGTATGTGCCTGATAGTGTTCCAAGTGGGCTATGCTCATTTAGCCCTCAGAAACAATCTCACCAGTTTTAGAGAAGACATTAAGATGGAGAAGGTAAGTTATCTCCCCAAGGTCATATGACTGCCCAGGCTGGGGCCATTATATGATCTCAGGTACTATGAATTCCCCAATTCCTCAAGCGTGATTATCAGAAAATGTATTATTCCATTTTCACACTGCTATAAAGAAATACCTGAGGTTGGGTAATTTATAAAGGAAAGAAGTTTAATTGACGCACATTCCACATGGCTGTGGAGGCCTAAGGAAACTTACAATCATAGCAGAAGGGGAAGCAGTTACTTCTTACATGGCGGCAGGCCAAAGAGTGTGGGCATGTGAAGAAGCAACTGTCAAACACATATAAAACCATCAGATCTCATGAGAACTCACTCACTATCACAAGAACAGCATGGGGGAAACTGCCCCCATGATCCAATTATCTCCCACTGGGTTCCTCCCACAACATGTGGGGATTATGAGAATTACAATTCAAGATGAGTTGGGTGGGGGCATGACCAAACAGTATCAGAAAGTACAGGTAGAAGTCAAACTTGGAGGGGAAGTGACATTATAGACTGACATTTTATATATATATATATATTTTTTTTTTTTTGATGTGAATTTTAAAATGCCTCCTGTTCATTCAGCATTGATGAAGTCCCTTCTACATGCCAGACACCGTATGTGTGAAACAGTTCCAATCTCAAGGAGGGTAGACAGATACACAAAGGCTTAAGAAGTTCAGTTTTGTGAGACCACATTACTGAACAGTGTATGAACCTGAGATACAAACCCACCTCTATTTGGCCCCAAATTTGACGCTGGGGTAGTTTTAATTTTATTCTGAAAATCTGAGTCATTGAACCATACAAAGGTGAGGAGTCTCTGTCAGATGTGTGTGTAGTGGTCTGTATAATAAGGAAGGACTGAAGGAAGCAACAAGACCAATTAAGAGACTATCTAAAGGAAGACTGATGCTAAAGGCAGTGGCAGTGACAAAAGTAGAGGAAAGAATTTTGTGATTATTGGGGAGACAGAATAGGAAGTACTTGGTCATGAGATGTGAAAGCAGGGAAGTAGAGGGAAAAACAGGGCTGCATGGGCTCTGCTGGGGAAGACCGCGTACAGAGTCGTTCGTTTCTCCTGTCAGAGAATGTAGGAAGAGAAATCGCTAAGGAGGAAAAGACAGTTTTTTACGCTCAGTGTCACATTAAAATGGAACTCTCTGGTCAAAGTTGAATATAAATCACTGTAGGCTAAGTCCATTTGTGACATCCAAACATATGTTTTCAAAAATAGCACAAATACTAAATCCAACCATTAAGAGTAATTGGGGAAATTTCCTAAAATTTACATGCTAAGAATATCACCACTTTTTATTTATTACTTTCATGGAGTAACTCTGAATCTGTGGTTATAGCAAATGACGACTCTTACATAAAATAAAGCTAACATTTTAAATTTAAAATTCTATTGTCCTCAGAGAATATAGAATGCAACTGAAGCCATGGGCATGGAAGTGATTGCCTTGAGAAGTTGTGTATAGTAAGGAGAATTGGAAAGAAAGAAGACCTGGAGAACAGAGTGATTTACGGAACATTAAGTAAAGCTTGCAAAAGTGAGCACTCGGAGTCAAGAGACCAGCTTAGCAATCAGGAATGGCTGCTCCTGTGGGTCATTAGAAAGAAGATGACGTCTGATTTCATTCTGTAACAGCAGCACCTAGCACAGTGCCTGGTCAATAGCTACTCAGTAATATCCCAATGCGCAGAGTCAGATTTTGCTAGGAGGGCATGAAAGCTACAAATCAGCTATGGCAACTTAGTGATTGAGCTTGTGCATGTGTGAGAGTGAGCTACATGTCAGGCAGTGGGTAAAGCAGTGAACTGGAGGTGAGAAAACAATGACACAAACTAAGGGCTTCTCTTCCCAAGTATTTGGCTGAGAAGAGAGATGTAGTAGTACTTAAACGGAGATATGTGCTACAGAAAGCCTTTTATTTCAAGATTCAACAAAAGCATGAGCATACTTCTACGTTAAAGGGGAAGAGCCAACAGAGAAAACACATTTTTGAGGTTAGAAGAGAAGGAAGAATGAATGCACAAGAGCCCCCAAAAGGCACAGATGCATGCAATCTGGATCAGGAAGAGATTAGGTTTGTAGTCCTACAAAAGCAAGAAGGGAGAAAGGGCTATGTGACTCCAGAGATATTTCTCCAGAGGAAAGGTTTAGGAAGAGATATTTTGATGACCTTTATATTAAAAGACTTAAAAAAAAAAAAAAAAAACTTGATACACTAATAGCTTCCCTAAAAGTGGGTAACTTGAAACGCAATTTGAGCAAAAATCACGGAGTTCAATTATAAATAAGGATATCCAGAAAGTCAAAGATGGGCTTAATTTTTCCCACAAAGAGTTAAGAGAAATAACAACAACTTTAGGGAAAGAGGAAAAATAAGAAGAAATTTATACGCAATTGTAAAACGTATGAATATTTACAAACTTTAACATAAGTAATTACAAATAGGACCAGAAGAATCATTATTATAGGAAGCAAAGGGTCATTTCAAAAACATGGGAGGGATGATTCCTCTTTAATTCCATTGAAAATATTTCAGTGAAGTTTGAGGACAAAAATAGGCGATATGCTGAAATGCGAAAAACCACAGTGGAAGGAAAAAGAATTCAAGAAAGCTCAGTTTCAGTAACCAATGTCAAGTACAATCATCAGGACCTAGTGGCTATAGTCTGCATTAATAGTGTCTGAAAACCTAGAAAGGTCATTAGATCCCATTTTGGATAATTCTTGTAGACTTGAGAGGATGTCTATTTAAAGTTAAAAAATAGTTCCTGCACTTAACAACAGACACAATCAAAAAGATATCCCTCACTTTCAAAATGGAAGAATTTTGAACTTTCTAAACAGGAAATTACTGGGAAGCACTGTTATAAAAACAGATTTTAAAACATTTTGATTTAATGCAATATTGAAGTAAATTAAGAAAAACTCCTATCCGCCCATGACATTGGCAAGTCTGAGAGAACAAAGAGAAACAGATTAGTGTGATTTGAATTAATTGGGAGTTTGATTCTGTGAAATGAGCTCAGATTTGGTTAATTATGACTCCAGAGTAAATCAATTAATACATCTATTCATTCAATACTCATTTAATACCTGAGCCCTTAGCAAACATGCTGCACACTGTGCGTAAGTGCTGGGATATTGCTTGAACTAATGAAAGGTTCTTAGTCTTGTGAAATTTGTCTTCCAGTAAGGGAGTTAACAGACCGTGTGGCCTGTCACTCCTGCCTGCATTACGTAGGATGACTATTGATCTCCAGCTATTGAATCTTCACTCCAGACTACTGTAATGAAAATGAGGGAGAAAAGAAGGAGGAAGGTTTTTTAGAAGGTACTCATAGCACACAGCTTACAAATTATTGGCTTAAAACTTAGTCACATGGCCATACAAAACTGCACAAGAGGTTCAAAAGACAGAATTCTATAGCTAGGGTAATAAATACAGAAGAAACAATTGAATATGGAAAGGAAATAGCATGCTATTCCACAATTGCTAAAGAAAGATTAGAAAAGTTTCAGCTTAAAGCACGAATAATCAGAATAAAATTTTACAACCCTCTGCAAGCATATATGAAAAACACACAAAAGGTTTGCAATGATCTTTTTTTTTTTTTTTTTTTTTTGAGATGGAGTTTCACTCTATCGCCCACACTGGGGTGCAATGGCACTATCTTGGCTCACTGCAACCTCCACCGCCTGGATTCAAGCGATTCTCCTGCCTCAACCTCCCCAGTAACTGCAATTATAGGCATCTGCCACCACATCCAGCTAGTTTTGGTATTTTTAGTAGAGACAGGGTTCCCTCATGTTGGTTGGGCTGGTCTCGAACTCTTGACCTCAGGTGATCGACCTGCCTCAGTCTCACAAAATTCTGAGATTACAGGCGTGAGACAACGTGCCCGGACTGCAATGATCTTCTCTTAAGCTAAGAGGACAAGAAAAATGAAAAAAATTAAATTATAAAATGAAACTTTGGTTTAGAGATAAAAAACATTTTATGACAGCCAAGAGATCAGGGTTGTACTGTATATTATGTGAATGTTGTAGCATAACTTGACATTTTGTAAAAGTTGTTTTTCATGTGAATTTTTTTCAGGTGACTTACAAGGTCCCATCAGAAGTGAATAATAATCTTCCATATTCTTGAGAAATCTTAATGGCGTCAACTACAGTCTTCCATTGTTCAGTTTAGGTAAACACGGAAATCATGTTTGGCTATTGTCTCATCCAACTTCTGTTACCCCTTCCCCATCATAAGTCAGGAAGGTCTTGGATATTTTTGCTCTAGCAATTAGTTCATCATGAATCCTGGAGTTCTTTGCTACTCCAGTCATTGGTCCTCCTTTGCTTCCTGTAAGCATAATGAATTCATCATCATTAATCCCTAAACCATATGTAATTTGTATATCTGATTTTACTTCATGGGCAAAAGTTCTATGTATATCCTGTAATTCTTGCCAAGTATAAAACTTACTTTCAGTAGAGACTGTATTTCTGCATTCATGCACCTATGTAACTTTCACTGTTATTGCTGGTTGGGTTTTCCAGGGGTCATCATAACCTTCTGGGTTCTCTGGAAAAGGTACATATTTTTCAGGATGACACTGCAATATTTTGTTAGCTAAAATTCTTTATCTATCTAAATCGATTGATAGTTCCTAACGTCTTGAGTAACAAGGCTGCTACTTTCTGTTTTTCTTAACTCTGTCAGTTAATGTGACCAATGCCTGAGGTTGGGTAACCAGGCCAGTGCCACACTCTGCCAGAACATTTTTCCTAATACGTTTTTCTATTGCTTTCTCTGGATCACTGGGTGTTAATATGGGTTCTGGAATTGCAATTTTAAAAACTGTTTTGTGAATGACTAGCAAATAGTAATTTACTCTAATTTTCAAATATAATTAACAAGTGAAATGTGTAGGACTCCAATAAGGCACAATCATCTAGATCCTAAGTATGATGCCTTGGAAGAGGCAAATAGTGACTTGAGCAAGTGCACTCATGTCTGCTTACACCAGTCACTTTTGAACTGCTCAATGGCAGGCAGGGGGAATGACCTCTGGTTGGCAAATGTCCACTCAGTATGACCCTGGATTAGACATATAGTTACCGTCTGTCAGGCCAGCCATGTGTTGTTGGACTATTCCTTGGAGATACACTCATCAGTGACTGTTAAAGTACCTGAGTCATTAGGTGCCTGTAGACGATGCCCACTGATACAAGCATTGGGTACAAGCTGCCTAGTTGTGCTGACACTGACTGAAGCTGTGAGGTTTCACAGTAACATGGCAGCCAATTATATATACTCAGAGTTACCATTTGTCAAGAGGTATTCATTCACACTATCAATTAGGCAATTATCATTCTGCACACAGGCAGCAATAAAGTAAATAAAAAACCACAGTGATGGCTCAAGGGACCAATGTACCTCCAGAAGAATCCAGTGGGTCCAGAAGCCCTTTGGATGATGGTCAGATGCTCCTTTGGGGCAGAGGTCATAGCAGCAGCCACCAAGTCTGGAGAAGTCCTTACAGTTCTCATGGACAAAGCTTCTGAAAACATCTTAGACAAGATCTTGTCTCTGCTGGTTTTATGATCCTCTGCAGATGGGTCCACTCTCTTGTTCTCAGCCACCTTTCACTTCCTATCAGTTCACTTCAGGTCTCTCATGATCTCAGGCAGCAATAATTGTTATCACCTCAGCCCATTCACATGTGTTTATCTCTTTGGGGATGAGCGGACAACTTCACTGTAGACTTAATTCTACTGGAGATGAGTGACTCCATTTTAAGACATGAGGATCACAAATTATTATCACATATCATCAGGGCAGAGAATAGCTACCACCTACGGCTGAAAGCAGATAACTCCATTTATTCTGGAAACATTCTGTCTTGATTATGGTGCCAGTTACTGTGAGGGACTTCCTTTTCTCCACTTGTTTTTTACAAAGTTTGAGTCTAGACTGCTAACATTCTACTGATTTCCAGGTGAAGGGACTGATTACACCATCCCAGCCTGTCAGAGCACTTACCCCAGTACTTCCACTTTAAGAGTTTTCCACCTTGTCCAGAACTGCAGTCCATTAATCCCCCCGTTTTAGCTCTCAGGAGAATGAACAACACATCTCACATACATACTCACACACCTCTTCCCCCAAATACCAAACAGAGAAATCCAATCTGTCTCTTTCCACCTAAGCAATTTAGACAGTCACTTTCTAATAATTGCCTTAAGCTCCCTGACTTGCTGCTCTTCCTTTCTCTGGCAAAATCTTATCCCTGGATGAACCCCACTTCGTGTTGGCTCAGTGATACCACTCAGCTGAACCAGAAAAATATCAAAAAATGGTCACAGGTATCATCACAAATTCAAATCTCTTATACAACAAATTGGCCCTAATTTTCCAAAAATCAATAAAAGGTTTGTGTCTCCAACGACACCATTTTTTCTATGTTCTTCTAACTTTTTGACCAATCTTTTCTATGTCATTCCTTTATTCAACTTCTGTCTTCTGATATCTTGCCAAATCAATTAAGGAGAAAAGATATCCCATTAGGTAATAGCAGATCATCTTCCCATCACCAAAGAAAATAATACACACAGAATGAACCCACCTCATCTTTCTCTTCCTCATCATGTCAGAAAAATCATCCCTCCTTTTCTCACAAAGCAAATCTGAGATAAAAGATTTAGATGGCCTGGAATTCTGGCAATTGGGGAGGTCAATGCAGGCAGATTATTTGAGACCAGGACTTTGAAACAAGCCTAAGCAACTGAGGGAAACTCCACCTCTAAAACAAATACAGATAAATAATTAGCTGAGCATGGTGGTGTGGTGGCACATGACTGTAGTCCCAGCTACTGAGGGTGGGGAGCACTGAGGTGGGATGATCACCTGAGCCTGGAAGGTTGAGGCTGCAGTGAGCCGTGATCATACCACTGCACCCCAGGGAGGGCAATGGATATTTTTAAAAAGGTCTTCTCTGTGAAAAAAATAATCAGATAAGCAGGTAGCCATGAGGCTCAGGATGGCTCCAGTGCAGTGCACTCAGTTCCTCCTTAAACAAACCAAAACTTGACTCAGTGTAAATAAAAGGAAACTTATGCTTAACCAGTCAGAAACCATCAACTAACATCCACCTAGAGACTTTCCACTGTAATGATCCAAATGAGACCACTGCTGCACTTTACCAGATCAAGCATTTTCTTTTTCTTCTACATTCACAATGTAATTCTTCCCCCACCCTCCCAAACCCTCTTTGTTGGAGCTCTAAGCTGCTTGTAGCCTGGGGCTGCCTGGTTTTAAATTTCTGAATGCTCAAATATACCTCCTAATGTTTCAGAGTGCCCAATCATATCTTTTAACAGCTCTCATGGTTACATCATTTCTTTCTAGATCCTCAAGTTCTATCTCCTTCAGTGGACTGATTCTTCAGTATGTTAACATGTTCTCCTCTATCATGGTAAAGACTCTCCTAATATGGGCAGTTTCTTACAAAACTATACATACTCCTACCATGTGATCCAGCAGTTGCACTCCCTAGGTCTTTATTCAAATGATCAGAAAGCTGATGTCCACACAAAAACCTGAACACAGATGTCTATAGCATTTTCTAAAATAGCTACCAAAACGTAGGAAGAACTAAGTTGTCCCTCAGTAGCTTAACTGATAAATAACACTGTGGTATATTTAGCAAATGAAATATTAATCACTTCTAAAAAGAAATGAGCTATTGAGCCATCAGAAGACACTGAGGAATGTATAATGCACATTACTAAATGAAAGAAGCCAATCTGGAAAGCTATCTGCTCTATGATTCCAAGAACATAACGTTCAGAAAAATGCAAAACTATGGAGACTGAAAAGATTAGTGGTTTGCGGTGGTTAGGAAAAGAGAGAATAAATAAGTAGAGCACAAGATAATTACCACAGTGAAAATATACTGCAGGATATCATAACAGCTATGATGACACATTCATTATACATACACTCGTTATACATTTCTCCAAACCCTCAGAATGGGCGTCATCAAGGGTATCACTCTGGGTGATGATGACATGTCAGTATAAGTTCATGACTATAACAAATATTCTACTCTGGTATAGGAGGTTGCTAGTGGAGTGACCCAAGAGTGTACAGGAATCGAGGGCATATGGGAACTGTGGACTCTGTACTCCATTTTGCTGTACATTTGAAACTAATCTTAAAAAAAACGTCTATCACATAGCCCTTTTCAGGTCTCCAACTGGTCTGAGCCAGTTCTATTAAAGCTCAAAAAGCGCTGATTAATAAGCTAGATCTGACCCAACTGGCAAGAAAAGGCAGAAAAGACCCAGGCCAACAGAGTATATTCCACATGCATATACAAGGAAACTGGAGGAAACTTGTTAGCGTGTTCCTGAGCCCACAGATGAAGGCACAGATGCCAGGGGCGCCAATGTGAATCGGCCAGCATCCAAGGCCACATGACCACAAATGTGCGGAATCTCCTCTGCAATCAGTAGCTAAGGATGTTAGGCCATGACAGGACTAGGATGGGAGATGAACTGAGAATAGATTCTGTAGGCTTTTGTTGCCTCTTCCCAGCCCCAAGCATTTCACTCTCTGCTCTTGCCACAGGCAGCAGGGAGGCTTCCTGTGAACATCATCCCCACAGCCTACAGTTGCGTCACTCTCAGCCTCTTACACCCTCCTATGGCAGTGTCAGCCAGGACATCCAACCCTGAAAACTCAATGGTTCACACATGGCCAAGCATCATGTCGGGGTGAGCAGACCCCCTCCTCTAATCTGCAGACAAATGCGCCCTACCTTCTGGCCCTCTGCCAGCAACTGGAGGCTCTGGAAATTTCCAGACACACAACAGTCTTCTGAACTGCAGGCTGCTGCCCCATCCTATGGCAGAGTAAATCTTTTCTCCACTAGACTTGGCCTGTTATCCAGTTGAATGAAATGTCTTTTTAACACAGAAACAGGACACAGAAACTAGTGTTCTTGGGCACTGACCCCATCACACGGTTTGTAGGTACACACCAGTCCCGAGTACATGCCACCGAATTGAGGCCTCAGGCCATAGAGTGTGCACACTGGCTCAGCTTTCAGAAAACATCAAGGTATTGTTGGAAAGTCTGCAGACTTTATGGAGAAAAACAAAAATGAACATAAAACAAGTGATGAAAACACACACACACACACACACACACACACACAC